AAACGAGCGTTCTTGCTCATTTTGCTTCCGAGAAACATGCAATACGGGACGGAAAACATGAAATTTTGCAATAATCTTACGCCATCCTTGCACAAAACGACGATAATTTTTCTAATTTCATAGACAACAGAAGTATTTTTTCTACATAACCCCCCCCCTGAATTTAAAGCTGGATCCGCCCCTGACTGATTGCTCAGAACTCGGCTGCAGAACAGCATGGGGCAAAAACAAAAACCCGCACAAAAACACCGCGAGTTTAAAAGAGACTTGTGAACATACTAGACCCTTGAATGGAACAAAATTCTGAAACAATCAATTGGTCGCTTCAAATTTATCTGTGCCCCCAGTCAAACCTTTATAATTTTGAAAATATTAGCCGTTGCAAATTTCCGTTTTTAACACCAATCGAGATAATCCGCAAGAAGAACAAAACTGGCCCAGTCTGTACTCCACTAAATCAACACCCTGTACACTAAGCAGAACCTCAACTTGAAACACTTACTCCTTGCCAAATTTTTCCATATACTCGTAGATATCGTCGATTTTGCGCTCGGTCAAGTTGAATAGAAGCAGGCACATTTTATTCTGCCACTCCACGCAGTGTTCGATGATCGCCTTCTTCAAATCTGAGCAATTGATTTGCAGGAAATGAACATCGGAAACTGTGTCCTGAATTTGAACATTGTTGGCCAATTCCGTGTAGCGCCCGATGTTGGCATCGAACAGAGTAGCGCTTGGATCCTCCTCCTCGTAGCGCTCCATGAATTTGTCTTTGTCCACTTCCCACAGGTCCCGGAATGGTTCCCAGACCTTAATGTAGTCCTTGATTTTCTCCACTGCCACCCGAACTTCTACAAGGCACTGTTGAAAACCCTACCTTTTCCAAGGCTGGACATTATTCTACCTTGATTCAGCTGCTGTTGCATGTGCTTGCAGTCTTTGTCGTTGTAGATCAGGTCTGCATAAGGAATATAATCGGTTTCAGACACGTGAAACTTATCATTCAATCGAGGCAGGGACTTGACGGCTTCCACAAGAGTGTTCTGCACGTTGGAAATCACTCGTGCCACATTGACCAAGGTGGGGTTGAAGTTAATCTACATCGGAAATGTCCACAAAACAACTATCCATACCAGCTGATAGTATGAATGCTAACAAACCTTGTTGCCAATCAGATTGACCTCGATTTTAATGAGGGGATTTGGGTCCGTAGTACCATCGCCATGTAGCGCCTCAAACATGGATTGCAGCGAATTTTTGCAGCAAATCTTCAAAGCCTCCTCCATCAATCGGTCGAAATTGTTAATGTATCTGACCCATTGGTTGGCCATGCTGCCCATGACATTCTCAAAGCCCTCAAACACCATCACTAGAAACTCAATGATGGTGTGGTAGCAGCTGATGAGTTTTCCCAGCGTGTCGTTCATGTTCTTGGTCAGCTCATCGACCAACTCTTGCAATTCCATCACCGTGTACTGAGTTAAGCTGATTAAGGGGGTGTCGCAGATTTTTTCGCAGATCAGCACGATCTGCAGGTTGCACTGCTTGTAGTCGTCCACGAAATCCTGCAGCTGATTAACATTGAAGTTTTCTTGAGTATGAGTTCATCAAACTATCGAGTCTTCCGTTGCTACCTCTGCAGTGTTATTGCTGCACTCAGCAATGTATTCGTCCCCAATGTCCGCAGCCCATGTGAGCTTGGACAGGCCTGGGGATATCTTCTTTTCCACATTGGAAATCAGCGGCTTGAACAGCAGCCTTTCTTCATCGGAAAGCGATGAAACAATCTTGTTGTAGTCCAGGACAACATTCAGGACGCACTCGTAGATGAACCGAAGACTGTCCGCCTTTTGGTACACCGACTTCACATAGGTGGGGATTTCGAAGTTCAAAGCGTCCCAATATTTGGCTTCTTTAAACATTTCCATCAGGGACCTGAAAAAGCGCAGCTGAACGAATTGGCGAAAGTAAACCAGCTGCAAACATGTACCGGTCTATGTTGCACTCCAATAATCCAGGCTTAGAAATGCTTTTGCACATCAACGGGCGTTGCAATCGCAAATTGATGTCTTCGCCGATACTGTCGATCCACTTTCGGTACAAGTTGAAAATTTTATCATCAATCGACGCAATTAGTTTCTGGTATTGGGCGAAAACGTCTTTGGAGATGCTACAGGGCAACATCCATCCAGCGTCATCAAACATCTGAAACCCCACAGAATGGTGGCAAAAATTACGTTATTGGCACCTTGTGAACCAATGAACAACATCTAAACCCCAAATTCTAATTGGATTAAATATGTCAAATGAATATAGAACTTTGATGATTATTTGAAAAATGAATCTAATTCAAACATCCAGCAAAGATGCGGTTTTAATTTACGCTTGTTCTAGACTATGAATGAGCACGAATTAGTTATCTCACATAAATGTAATTTTTCGGTTCGTAAGAGATGTGATTAAGACGTAATTTAACAAAAATATTAATAAGATTGAAAGATAATAATAACCAATATACAACAATAAAAGTTAAAAAATATTGGAGCAAATATGATTTTCTTTATTGGCTCAACTGTAATTCATGAATTCTGCAGAAGAGCTTATTAATTTCAGGTTCAAGAACTTCTACAGATTGAGCTAAAGCTCAAACTCTAATCAAATTTTTCAATTTATAGCTACAATACTTCTTTTAACTGTGCCAAAACTGCACATTCACAATAAATTGGAATTTTTTTTAGCTCAACTGCAAAAGAAAGCGTTGTTAAATTCAGGCCCACGTTCAAGAATTTCTCACAAATCAGCCCATTTTCAGATTATAATGAAAGTGTCACGCTTGTTTTCTTGAACTTTCCGTTTCACTGTACCAACATTTTATTTCGCCACTTCTACAAATTTGAGAGTTATGATTTTTTAAGCCCAAGTGCAAATAAAGCGCGCTTGAAATTGTCAGATGCAGGTTCAAGCGTTTATGCAAAATCAGCCGATGCTCAGATTCTCACGAATTTTTCTCAATTTATAAATCAAACTTTCCTGTCCTCTGTGCCAGAATTTCAAGTATCCACTTTTGCGAGTTTGGGAATTGTGACTTTTACTTTCGCCCATCTGCAAAGCAGGTGCGTTTTCCTATTCGCTGAAAAACTGCAGAATTGCCGTTGGGCTAAATAAAAAAATAATTTTTAAAATCTAGCGTTCTTGATGACCTTAGAGCTTCACAGTTGACTTGAGACAACAATTTAATCTACCAGGTTGCATTAATTAACGAAATATTCGAAAGTGAACCACTTAAGTTGAAAGTCTGCTAGAATCATAGATTTCTGGGGCAATTCTGATTTGAGTCATTTTTCGTGCAACTCTGTATATCGACTTTTTGTATTAGATCGTCTATGAAGTTTTCGCTTCAACATGAGCTCTAAATCGTAAAAATTTGACCAATAGCAGAAAAGTTGTCGCGGTAAGACCAAAAAGCTTTTTGTTTAGACCACCCTGTAAATAGAAGAGACGGTCTAAAAATTCAAAAAGTGTCGAGGTATTTCGTTTGTCTTTGAACCTTTGGTGTTGAAATTCAAAAGACCTTTTGTTGTTGTTCAACTAGGAGCATGACGAACTTTCCAAAATTTTGCATTTTTCCATTTGCCACCCTCTAAAAAATTTTCTGAAATGCTTAATTTTTGTAAAAACACTGGCTAACAGAAAACAAATCGGGTTAAGAAAAACTCTTCAAGCAGAAAATAAATCGCTTAAAGCAATCAGAATGTATCCACTGCCAAAGTTAGTGCAAATTTGGCTGTGTAACGTTCATTTTGTTGAGCAGTTTAAATTGATTCATTGAGTCATTAACAAACCCAAAGCGAGCTGGTATAAAACAAAATGTTTGGAGCTCTGAAGATGGCTTAATTAAGCTGAAACGTTGCTGCGACAACAGCCAATTTTGCGTGATTCGTCATCATCTCGTTTGCACTGATTGGGTTTCTCCGCATCATAATTTAACACTGACCTTTTTCAAGAGAGTCAATCGATGTTTCTTCATTTTGAGCAACTGAGCGCGCCCAGAATAGTACGGCATCAAGTTGGGGTACATTTCGGACTCCGTTTGCGTGTCTTGCTTGGTATCCAAAATTTCCGCCCGGAACATTTTGTAAACCTAAACACCTCTTTTACTTACAGCTCGCAGAAAACCTCCCGATGGTCACTCACTTGCAGAGTTTTCCCATCGAATAAGGAAAAGAGAGTTTTCCTTTTGGAGTAATTGTACATGGCGGCCAAAGTTTCGATTCCTTCCTCAACATTGGCAATCTCATCAAATACGGCGTTGGTTAAGTTCTCCACCACCACCTCAATGTCTTTCATTCGCGTCCGAAATTTCAGAATATCGTCATACCATTCGGCTTGCTGAACGTCCAAAATTCTGAATTTCACCTGCAATAGTAATCCTGAAGTCTCCGGGCCATTTTAACACTTATAAACCAAACTCACTCTCTCAATATCTTCCAAGCTGTCGTTAAACATTTTCTCAATCCGATCTGCCCAACTTTCAAACTGCTGCCCTTTGGAAGTACCAAACAATGGCTTGGGAATGTCTTCGGTTTCATCAAAGCTGAAGCAAGTGGTTCCCACTTAAACCCCAATATTCACCAGCTGAAGCAACCCTTACCGACCAAACACAATCATCGCCTCACAGACCTCAATCATGTCTTTGCATCTCTGGATGTAGGAGTCCACATGGTTAAAAATAGGGGCCTTATCTAACTCCCAGGGAATCTGGCCAAACTCACTGTGAGCACTGGAAACCTGATCAAACCGTTGTGAGTGAAAACTGCCGATTTTCTCATCCGCTTACCAAAATGTACGTCCGGATGTAATCAGTCAAGCACTGGATGCAAGTTTCAAACATCTTAATGGCATTTTTAGTGTGTTTCTGCAGAAAAATTATGTCCATGTCGATGAACTGGCTGCACTGGCGGATGATCTGGTTGCTCAAAGATCTACAAAGCAGGCGATATTTTGGCTTCAGTTCAACTAAAGCTGGTTTACCTGCAGATTATGGTAATTTTCTCCTGGGTGTTGTAGTATGGGCTCTTCATCCAAATGTACCGAATGAGATTGAGGATATTTGGTAGAAGCGAGCCAAATTCCTGCGGTTGCTTCAGGCTGGCCAGTTCCTGAAAAGCACGCCACATAATCTGCAGCTTCCACATGAATCCAACATACATTGCAGGGCTCTGTCAGGGTGTTCAAGAACTCAATGTTGGACTTGGCTTCTTCCACGTTGTGGATAATTTCTTCAGCAAGCGCTCTAAACTGCTTCACGTAGGAAGACTGGACTGCCATCAAGATATTACATAAATGCTTAATGGACTCGTTTTCCAGCTGGTAGTTCAGACCCAGCAAGTTCTCATCTGCAAAGGAAAACTTTGAATTTTGCCAGTTACAAAACCATTAACTATTTACATCTATTTCTCCAAAAGTTGTATTCGTCTATGGGACAGCGCAGATCTTCAGCAGTGTTCTGCTCTTGATCTTGAAGCCCCACACGCACCTAAACAAGCAAAAGTGCAGTTTCTGGAATTGTGTGGCGACTTTTTTACCTGCTTAGTCCAGTAGACAACGACTCCTTCCATTCTCTTTATAAACTCCTTGTCCTCGGTGGCAACTTCCACTGGAACAGAGATGATGATTTTTGGCACATAAAGCACCGTAAGGCCATGCAGTTTGTAGTGCAGATCGGTTAACTTGGCCAGGAACATGTGCAAAGAGTGGTTGAAGTCGTTTTTAACACCTGAGGGAGTTAGTTAAGGAAAATGGGCAAAACAGTCTAAAAGAGTTAAAAGAAGGATACTGTCCGGCCAGTTCTGAGACCGCAGCAGAACAGGGGCATAAGTGTTTTCGATCACTTGCAGCAGGGAACCTTCAATAGAACCGTTTATGGTGCCGAAGATTATTTCGTCGTGGAAATGTTGCACCGTGAAGGCCAAACCTGGTTGGTACAAATCCGTTTTTTATTAACTAGTTTACGGGATTTTCCATAGTTTCTCACCAGGTTCCCTCAGAAAGTAGGTAGCGTCAATTATTGATACAGTCGGAACAAAAGTGTCGCAAGTCAGTTCCTCTCCATCAAAGAAAATCATCAGCAGTGGTTCGGATAGGTCTGTTAGCCAGCATCTATAGCAGAATCAAAATAATGAAACAACTGAGGAAAATGCGAAGTTCCCAGCAAGTTTCTACCGGATGGTATGCTCGCATTCTTCATTCCAATCATCGGGCCGAAGATCATATAAAATCGTCAAGTCTTTGATGTATGTTACCAGCTGCAACAGCTCGTCTTCGTCGTATTCCTGCACAGGCGACAAGTTCTCCACTTCAGGGGTGAAGATTTTGACGATTTTCTCTGCAAGAGTGGCACGTTGTTAAGAATTAAGAGGTTTCACGGGGATATGAACACCTTCGGAGTCTTCTGAGGAAAACAAGGAGTCCTTGTCTTCAGTTTTCGCTTTTTCGCTCGCATGGACACTTTTTGATTCTGGCGGATTAATGCCAGACATTTTATCCAGCAAATTACTAGATTGTTATTGATAACTGTCTCAAATGGCTCTTGTTTTATCGATAAATAATGTCTTGGCAACACGTTTGTTTTCAATTATTTAATAATACTCCTGTAATATAATTTTTTATTTTCTCCAAAAACTCCCGTCGCTGTTTATTTTTTTGTGCAGTCAGCTATTAAACCAGCTAGGGAAAAGTTGCAAGAATTTAAAAACTTTAAATAAGGAAATTCCCGCCGAACACCCACTAATGTATTGCTGGTTGCCTCCCAACATTCCGGTTCTACATCATCGCATTAGTTTCCTACATGTGCCAGAAAGAAACAGCCAGGTCACAGCATCATCCCATATAATCTCGTTTTGACACTCAGCTGAGAATGTAAAGCATCTAACCAAAGAAAAGTAAATACGCATCTCAAGATTCTCAAGCAATTCAGTAGTTTTTAACAACCTTCAGTAGTGGCCATCTACTCTGCCTTCTATGGGAAATTGCTTGCTGGTGAACCTTTGCTGAGTCCGCCACTCATCAGCTAAGTTTCACGTAAAATCAAGATGAGCGAACCAAGAAACAAACATTTGCTGGTGAAAAACAGACGGAAGCTAATAAGCCCCGTTTTCCACTTACAAACCCAGCAGGAGGACGAAAAGCACCTTTCCAAGGAGACTATTAAGGATGTCAAGAGGACTGGAGTGTTAAAATTGCATGCCAAGCACTTGTCTTCTGGTAAGACCGTTGGATGGAAAACCAGCAAATAAGCCACTAGTGCTCTTTCAGTTCCCAGTCGTGTCTTCACAATGTACGATGAAGAGGACCTACCAAATGGGGTCAGCCTGGATTTTAATCAGTCTTGCAAAGATGAGCTGTGGTGGAACATTAAACCTTTAACAAACCTAGATTTAAGCTCTAACGTTATAACAGAGTTACCCGGTAAAATCGGCATCTTTCAGGACTTGCTTACACTCAATGTAAGACTGGACCAGCCCTCCAAAGGCCCCTTGATTGTTACATTTCTCTTGTAGCTACACGACAACTCTCTAACATGTCTGCCTGAGGAATTAACTAGTCTAACTAAATTAACAAAGCTCTTTATTAATCGTAACAAAATTAACCAACTGCCAAATGATATTAGTAAACTTGCGGAATTGAGGGTACTAAAACTAAGCCATAATTGTCTGGAGCAACTGCCAGACAGTTTGGTGGATTTGGTGATGTTAGAGAAACTGGTAAGCTGCCTACTGTGCCTCAATTCTTAATCCTGCCAAGCTTGTAGGACTCTAAAAGCTCTTTTTAGGACTTGTCCAATAATTTAATCAAGCAATTACCGTCTGGGATTGGCTTTTTAGTGCGTTTAACCGAACTGGATGTTTCCAACAATCAGTTAAAGACTTTGCCGCCAGATATTGTGAACTTGCGAAGTAATCAACAGGCGATAAATTGTTGCAGTCGCACTAATCCTTAATTTCTAGACCTGGCCATTCTCGATATCAATCACAACAGTATAGAAAAACTGCCCGAAAGTCTAGGAGAGTTTCGCAAGCTCCAAATATTGCACGCGCAACATAATGATATCCAGGAAATTCCTGATTTTACCGGCTGTGAATGCATACAGGAAATCTATTTTGGAAACAACTTTATCAAGGTTTATTAGTTTGCCTGTGAGATAACCTGGTCTTTAGTGTGGGTCTTTCAGGAAATCCCTGATGAACTTTGCGAAAACCTGCAGCAGTTGAAGGTGTGGGAATTGAGGGATAATCAGATCACAGTCCTACCTCAGGACATTGTTAAACTAGCTCATCTAACCAAACTAGATGTGACCAACAATGAATTAACCGAGTAGGATTTTGAATCTCAAACACAAATTTTTAGTGTTGGAAGCACTTTTTTAGGATTCCTGCAGTAGTCGCGCTTCTGCCGCATCTGCAGTCTCTGAAAATTGAGGGCAACAAGCTAAAGCACATACGAGCGGACGTTGTCCATACAGGAACTCAGAGGATTCTTCAATTTTTACGCGAAAAACTCAGCGATGAGGACCTCAATGCGCTCAGCAACGGTTTTGAATCAGCTCCAATCGAAGCCTGTGTCTTTCCCGATAGGTACCATGGACTAGGTGAAGTGTTTTTGAGGATTGCATAGAAGTTTTGCAGATATAAAATGCGCAATGGCAACATACTGAACCTGACCATGAAGGGCCTCACTTCCATACCGGACGAAGTGTTTATTGAAGCTAAGGAGGCCCGAGTTGCGAGTGTGGATCTTTGCAAAAACAAGTTGGGACTTGTGCCCGTTGGGTAAATTTCTGTTTTAGAGATAGTAACATCTTCTTCAAGTCAAGGTGTTTTATGTAGGTTGCAAATGCTTTCGGAATTCCTCACGGAGCTAAATTTATCCGCAAACCAGCTCAAGGAAGTTCCTGAAGAACTAGCCAAGTTAGCAAAGCTGAAGTTGCTAGATTTGAGCAGCAACTCGCTGAATTCTTTACCAATAGCCATGGAGAGCATGGTGAATCTACGCGAGCTTGTTCTGTTGAATAACAGGTAGTTGCTAGCAAATACCTCCATATCAGGGATTAATGGATTCTTAGGTTCAACAAGATTCCTGATTGCGTCTTCGGAATGGTCGGCCTAGAAATTCTCATGCTGAACGACAACGGTTTGACGGAAATCAATATCGAGGGGCTGCAAAAGCTAAGCAGATTGGCCACATTGAATCTGTCGAACAACAGCATCAGCTTTGTGCCACCAGAGTTAGGGAATATGACACAGATAAAGTGAGTAGATTTTACTAAATTTGAACTATTTGAATTGGGGCATTGGCTTCCAGATGGCTGGAGCTGAAGGGAAATTCGTTTCGTCAGCCTCGATATGCCATTCTGGAGCAAGGAACCGAGTCAATTCTCTCTTATTTAAGGGACAAAATTGTGACTCACTAATTCCATGTGTTTTTCTGGATTAAGAGTTTGAGAACTGGAACATTTTCATACTCAAGTGCAACTATTGTGATTACGTTTAGTTTACACCAAGCCATTCATTCAAGTATTAACTTATATGTATATTGTAGATGTATTTAGTGGAAGTTACCTTAGGCATTTAACCCGTACAAATTTTGAATGCAATCATTGCTCACATGGTAATTCTAATTATGTATATTTTTATATCGAGCTTTATATATTGAGATATTGCGTAATTTGCAGCAATGGGAGGCTTTAGAATATTTAAGTGGAAATAAGGTACTTCCAAGAAAAAAATTGTGGTATTGTACAATGCTGAATTATTGTTAAAGAATACCAAATTTTCGTTGTCTTCAAAGAAATATTTGCGTGTTTACCAAAAAATCTCAAAGTTACTTTCGTGGATGCTACACTTTATTTTGCAATTAAATTGTTCTAGTCAATTAAGCAACCCAACAAATCACTGGCATTCATTTCTTTATTATAAAATATCTGTAACAAACTAAGTAAGTATTAATCTTAGCATTAAATGAAGAAGTAGTTCATAACATAGGAGCAACTTATTTACTACCTCTTTGTTTTCTATTCAGTTCACCAACCAATCAACACAGTTCAATAAATGATCAAGTTACTGGGAATTTATCTGTATCATTCCCACGGGCTCTAATTGCCTGGAGTGGGGACATTCATCAGCAAGTTCTGACCACTTGGAAGATACGAAACTTGTCTAGATCGCGATAGTTGATAGGCGATGTCTTCGGCCGCCTCGATTCTTCTGAGTTCCACCAAACCTTCACCGGCATCCCCAAAAGCTTTGGCCAGAAGAATAGCAGCTTGAGCGTCACCTTCGGCGGAGATAACCGTGGCCTTTTTGGTTTGTTCGGCCTTTTCCACCAGGAATCGGGCCTTTTCTGCATCTTGTTGCGCCACCTAAGGGTGTGAATGAAAGTGAATTTTTATTGCAGTTGGTGTGATTAATTAATTACCTGTTTCAGTTCAACAGCTTGAGTGAACTCCCGGCCGAAAGTCAAGTGGGTGATGGAAATGTCGTCTAGAATAACACCAAACTGACTGGCTCTTTCAGTCAGGTCTTCGCTGACTTTCTGAGACACCAGGTCACGTTGTGTGATCAACTCGCCTGCATCAAACTGGGCAACCACAGCTTTGAGCACTTCCGTTGTAATGGATGGAAGTACGCGCTCTTCGTAGTCCTGGCCAAGAACAGTGTAGATTTTCGGCAGCTGATCTGGCACAGGTCTGAACAGAATACGAAGGGTGATGTTCACATTTTGCAGATCTTTGCTTCCAGTGACGACCGGCACGTTCCTGGGTCTGGATCGGACGTCGAAGATAATGGGCCTTTGAACCCATGGGACGAAAAAATGCGTGCCCTCTCCAATCACTTGCTTCTTAATGCCGGCGAATCTGTCGAAGATAACAGCACGATGCCCCCCGTCCACATTGTATAGGGCTGAGTTCACAACACCTCCAGCGAGGGCTACTCCCAAGCCTACCTGACCGATTCTATTGAAGATTTGAGCCGCTGACATTTTTTTGGGTAAAAACCACGCGAAACCTTCAAATAGTTGCACAAGATCCCACCCACTTTGAGGTTAACTAGGGAGAAAGTGACGTTTAAGTGACATACGTTCGATAAACAAATGAGAAGCGGCTACATGTGACATTTCCAGAAGCTAGTGATGAGAATAATCGAATTGTTGGTGATTATCTAGATTATAGTACAATTGCGTTTGAAGTTGAAAACGGATTAATCTTGTAGATAATCTGTTTACTAACAACTTTTCTTAGTGGAATTTTTTGGGGAAATGCTATTCACCCGGTTTTTGGTTGGGATCCTTTCCAGTGCCTTTCTACAGGATTTTTTTTTAGTAACACGGAAAATTGCCTAAATTCGTGACTCCAAAATCCCTAAAAAAACATTCTAAAATAATTTTTGGTGAATATATGGAACTTTTGCGGCCTATCCAACGCGCAGGGTTTCCAAGCCTTCTCCAAAATAACAACAATTTTCGCTATTGTCAAGAATAAAAGCTTCATGTGAATAACGAGATCTAAGAAATTTCTATCATAGCGGCAACAAAGTCTGGTTACTGTCAAATAGTATGACATCAAAACACAAATAGTGTAGGTCTGTAAAGGGGCACAAGTTTACCCCATTATCTTGCTAAAGAAGGGGTAAAAACAAACCGCGATAGTGATTAGCAATATTTAGCTAAACATTGTCTTGATAGGACCATTGTCACTGAAGCGGCGCCTTTTGCTCGGTGCAAATATCGATTTGTGTCCATCAAAGCCTTGGTCAGATACAAAGGTAATTGTTTACCATTGTTTAAATTGGTAATGCTTCCCAAATATCTAAAGCTGCAAAATACGTCATGCAAATATTAATAGCAGTTAACGAATCGAGCTCAAGTCTTAATAGTGTAAATCAAGTTTCTAAACACAATCAATATTAATTGCTTAGTTAAGAGGGATTTTACTATATATAAATCGTCCAAAGTAGGTCACACAGTTTACACCAAGGGAATTGTCTGAGTTGGCACAAGTTTACTCAAATGGGGTTTCCAGTTGTGTCCTGGTGAAATATGGAAGCAGTATTGAGGATCTCGATCGTCCGTGCTTAGAGGTAAAAAGTGTTGCAATGAAATAGCGCATATTTCCCAGTTAACACTTTGTTTCCTTAATTAAAAATTCACTAACACAAACCAAACAAGTAAATAAAACCTTTAACCATCTCTGATAATTGTTTAATTTCTTGTACATCCCAAGACTGTGATAGTCCTAAACTACTAACAATAGAGATAATCGCCTATTTACCAACGAATTTATGTTCACTGGCTGATTAACTAAAGTTGGTTTTTCTAAGTTGTTTGCTGTATTGTTGTAAGTTGTTGTTCAAAGAAATTTACTATTTACACCCTGACAGCACTTTAATTCCTTTGAGAGCGCGCGCCTTTGTAATTTTATTCTCAACTTTTCGTGCAACCTTTCGAAGCAACCCCAAAGCTCTCAGTTTATAGAAGAAACTGGTTTATAGGAAAAGTGTAGAAGTGTGACAAAACCCATCTAATATGAGTGAGAATGATGATTCTGATACAGAACTGGATCCACGAATTCAAATCGAGCTGGAAAAACTGAACAGCACAACAGATGAAATCAACAAGCTGGAAATCGAATACGATGTAAGTTTAACAAGTGGATTTAAGAGATTTTGAGAAGTGAATATTTTTACTTGTTTTGTCCTGACGGTTATTTAAGCAAGGGCGGATCCAGGGGGGTCAGGGGTCATGGGGATCATGACCCCCTATTCAATTCTCTATCCAACTATGCCAAAACGAATTCTCTGGTTCGAATGGTTTTTGAGAAACTTCTAAAAAAGCGGCGTCATGTTCAAATGGATTTTGCAACTCCAAAAAAACCACGCAAATCGAAAACTTCTTGAATTCATTCAGAATTTCCTCACTCACGTTGTTACGACTGAGTCGACTTTTTAATTCTCTATCCAACGATGCCAAAACGAATTCTGTGGCTCGAATGGTTCTTCAGAAACTTCGAAAAATGCAGCGTTATGTTCAAGTGGATTTTGCAACTCAAAAAAAAATTACGCAAATCTAAAACATCTTGAATTCAAGCATTTTTTGAGAAAACTGGCAACAATCCCCATCCATGGTTCACTTTCTAAAAAGGCCATTTATTTCTGTCTAGAATGATGTACTATTGAGCGTTCTTGCTCATTTTGCCTCCGAGATATGAGCAAAAACGGGACGTAAAACATTAAATTTTGGCATAATCTTGCACCTAAGTGTCTGATGTTCAAATTTCACTTTCTGGGTCAAAACTACTCGAATTTCCTCACTTACGTTGTTACGACTGAATCGACTTTTCAATTCTCTATCCAACGATGCCAAAACGAATTCTGTGG